GGTTTAGGGTTTAAGGATTTACGGTTTCGGATTTAGGGGTTTAGGGTTTAAGGGTTTAGGGTTTAGGGTTTAAGGGTTTAGGGTTTAAGGGTTTAAGGATTTAGGGGTTTAGGGTTTATTCAGGGTTTAAGGGTTTAAGGGTTTAGGGTTTAGGGGTTTAGGGTCTACGGTTTAGCGGTTTAGGGTTTAGAGGTTTAGGGTTAAGGCTTCATCGGCCTCTCTTGGAAGGGACTCACCAGCGCGCAAGGAGAGTACCACCAAGAAGGGCCTCTCCTGGGTTAAGGAAAAGCTACTACAAAAAGGAATCCGTACTATTCACTTCCCCTTAGGGAACTTAAGTTAATCTAATAAAATATAATAAGGAATCCCTACTATTTACTATATACCCCCTTATTATGGTACCTTAAAATTTAAAACAAACCAAGAACTTCCTCAACAGCGACCCAGTCTCTGGCGCCTCGCAAGGAGCTCGGCGGGAAGAACTCCTGATGGAGTGTGCCAAAGTTCGCAGGGCGTCGACGTACACCAGCACGATGGCCGTGGCGTCAGCATCTTCCTCCTCATCTCCGTCGCTGGAGTGGCCAGGCTTCTCTAGGGGGTGGTGGATGCTTCGAAAAAGGTCCTCCGAAGTGAGCACCGTTGCAATGGCAAAGGAGCCCGGCTCCTCTGAGTACTCCAAGCACTCAGGAACCGGATCTTCGAACTTCGGCTGCAAGTCCAGCGCAGCCTGCCAGGCTCCATCCGCCACTTTGCGATCCTCGAACCAGAATGCCTGCGCCATGAGCCGACAGGCAGGGCAAACTGCACCGTCCAGTCGACGATGTGCACTTCGACAGGGCAGTTCGAATTTGGAACGGAGAACTCCTGGTCCCATAGGCATATCCCATATACATCCCCTTATAATGAAGCCCCATAAGGTAGGGATATCCCTACCAAAATGCTTATGCTTATGTCCTTTTGGGCTCCCTGCTCCTTGTGTCCAGGCCAGCTCCTCCCACATACGGCAGCATGGACGCTCGAGATCGAGTCCGAACCTCTCTTCTTCAACAACCAGGCCCAAAAAAGTTCAAACTTTTTAGGATAGACCAAATATATAAGGCCAAAAAGTTTAAAGTTCTCCTATTGGCTAGCTAAGGAACCACCACGACAGGGCGGTCGACCTGTCTACGAATTGCCAAAGCTGTAGCCACATGGCCTTCGCGTAGGGCTTACCCATAGGCCCCATAGTAGTTCCTTTTTGTGGCTTATATTAGCATCCTATTAGGTAATCCCGAAAAGGAACTACTACGGGGCCTATGGGTAGACTCTATAGGGAATAGGAACTCGGACTTGGGCGGTTTCGGGTTTAGGGATTAGGGTTTAAGCGGTTTAGGGTTTAGGGGGTTCAGGGTTTAGGGGCTTTGAGATTAGGGATTACCTATAGTCTCCAGTGTAGCTCCTGTTTGAGGATACCTTATAGAACCCAAAATATATAATTGGTTAAACCAAAAAAGGAACTACAATGGAGACCAGAGGTATACTGGGCATCAGGATTCCTTATGGTGGTTTCTATGTACGGTTCCTTAAAAAACGTAGGTTTTTTGGGCCACAGGTAGGGATTAGGGTTTAGGGTTTAGGGTTTAGGGTTTTAGGACCCTAAACCCTAAACCCTAAACCCACGCATGGCCTTCACCACCTCCAGTTGCCTTTCCAGCGTGTACAGTGCCTCGGCTGGGCCGACTTTCAAGCTCTGGTTGGCCCAAGTCCTGGGTCGCTGTTATGAGGAACTTAAATTAAGCTGCTAGAATATATATATATATATATATATATATGTATACATATACATATATATATGTTTATGTATCCCCATTCTGGTAACTTAACCATATACATAAACAAATTTCTTAACAGCTATCCAGGTTCTCTTCCAGTTGCTTACGAGCCGATGCCACGACTTCCGCCGGTCGGAAGCCCGGGGCAGCCAGTGAGCAGCTCTGCCTTAAGGACGAAATCAATCCAAAAAGGGTTTAGGGTTTCGGGTTTAATTCTAGGGTTTAGGGTTTGAGGCTCATATTCCATATAAGGATTCTTAGTTAGTACAAGGACAATCGGGGTACCCCGTAGTTTTAAGGGTCATTTGGTCTTCAAGTTGCTCTTTAGCCATTTTGAAGTGCTTCAGACAAAGCCGATGAATGAAGCCAAAGGAAGGCCAGCCAGTGAGCAAAAACTTCAACAAGGTCACCATGTTGTAAAGCCCGATGCCGAAAGTTAGGGCTCGGTCGTAGTCTAGCTTTTGGGCTGCTTCGGGGCCCAATGCATCGTATTGCATGAGCCCGAGCACATGGACGCCGAAGGGACAGCTCAAATAGCTCTCCTCACTCCCAAGCTCCAGGGCCCAGCTGGGCCTTTGGGGCCAGGGGAGACCCCCTGCCAAGACATCATCCGCCTCGTGCCGCAGGCGCTGCCAAAGCACCTGTTGGCTACCCCAACTGCAGCTGTGGTCGTCAGGGTGATAGGCTGCTGCCCAGCTGAGGATGGCGAAGACATGCAACAAGGCCACCGACATGGCGAGAAGGACATGCTGCCCACACCGGAAGCGCTAGGTTCATATGGGAGTTTCCGAAAATAAGGGGTGCCTTATTTTGGGGCCTTTATAATACGGATCCTGCTGTTTTAAGGTACTATATTAGGGTCCCCTATGTTCGGAAACCCCACACCTGGCCCGAGAACTACACGTCTGGCTCTTCAGGCGACGAACAATCAGGCTTTTGGGTTGGAGTTTGACACGGTTCACGACTATCTATCTACCTCTCTCTCTCTATACATATATACCGGCGCAAATCTATATATATATAGAGAGAGAGAGATAGGTATACATTTGTGCATACATACATGTATGTATATACATATGCTTATTTGTCGATTTATGCATTTACCTATATATATATATATGTATATGTATGTGTTTATGGTACCTATAATTACATGTATGTTTATATATGTGTATTTGCACTTTTATTTGTAACTGTAGTTTTAGCGTGAGGATTTTGCAGGTTGGGTCTTGCTCATGGTCTCAAGAAAACAATGCTCAAGCCGCAGACCTATTCTGTAACTCTTGAATGAGCGACAGGCGGGGGTGGGGGGAGGCTAGGATTGTGGAAGCTTCCTAGCATGATGGCAATGGGAAGACCTAAGAGTTCTAGCCAAAAACTTCTAAACCCTAAACCCTAAACCATTAAACATCCCTAAACCTTATAGACCCTAAACCCTAAACCATTAACCATCCCTAAACCCTGAACCCTAAACCATCCTAAACCCAGACATGTCTGTCGCTGCGCCAAGAGCCTCCTCCTCCCAGGCAGGAGAAGACGGGGCCCGATCCTTAGACACTCCCAAGGCTCATGCTAGTATGGGGGCCTTAATAATTGGAATAGGGTTTGGGTTTTGGGTTTAGGGTTTAGGGTTTAGGGTTTAGGGTTTAGGGTTTAGGGTTTAGGCTTTAGGGTTTAGGCTTTGGGGTTTAGGGAATCATGCTAATGTAGGGGCCTTAAAAGATTAGAGTAGGCTTCCTTTAAAGATATCCTTAAAGCGTTCTATAAGGGATTCTATGACAAGGTTCGATATTGGGCGCCTCAATAGTTAGAATAGGGTTTAGGGGTATATT